TCCTCTCCAGAGACGTTTGATCCTACATTGTTGAGGTCCTGGATCCGCGTTCGTAAGCTGTCCAACACGTCTGCACGTTCCTCGTCATTCTCAGGATGCGGATATAAGTGGCAGTGGTAACTGGGAGTGACAAGGACAGATGCGGATGATAAAGAAGAACGCATGAGCAACTGAAAAGGTAGAACTCAGACAACAGATGTTTACATACCAGTCGCAGATTTTTTGAACTTTATGTCCAATTTGATCTCCCCAAAAGGAGATGAGAAACACAACGCTTTTGCTTATTTCCCCCTGAAATCACACAATTCAGCAACCTTAAAATATCAGCCCGAGAAGCAAACATAAAGCACAAAAAGTAACTTTTCTAAGGCTTGTCTCACAGTGTCGAGATCGGCGAGGCTCTCGTCTACTTCTGTGTAGCTCAGGATCATGTAGCCTTTACACACTCTCCACAGCATGCGCTCAAAGGCCTCCACCTTCACCCGCTGGATGAGTCCTGAAACAAAGCTGAACCCAGGAGAGATCAGATTAGGTTCACGACGTGTTTTCCAACCAAATTATGGCACCCAGTGCTGCGGCTCGGCATGGATCAGTTAGCGTTATTAAGGTTTCATGAGATGCAAGAGAAAGAGCTGCAGAGACGCGAGCTTAATGCTAAACCATGGAGCAATAAGTCAATTGGCTGAAGGAAGGTGACAGTAAAAAAATTTGTCTGAAAATATTTCGAGGACATACAATATATTAAAAATGGTAAGCTACAAGAAGCAGCATTCAGTTTCCATGCTCCTCTGATCTGGAACAGACTTTCAGAAAACTGCACAACAGACCTGTAAAGCACTTATTACTGCTTTGTTGCTGAATGTGCTGCACAATTAAACTTGACTTGACTTACAAGTTGCAATAAATACATATTTACAACTTAAATACTTTAATAACTAGTGTGTTGTGCTAGATTTTTTGTAGCAGAAAGATAAATTAGTTTTGCATTTAGGTCAAAACCTTTGTCAATATACCACACACATTTAGAATCTCATACCAGTGAAGTAAACATTTGGTGGTGCAGCTCACCCCAGCTTAGCTCCAAGTCTCTGCATGCCAGTACTTCCCATAGCCGAATCTGTCTCCATGGTGGGGAACTCTTCATACTGGGGACCAAGAGCTTCATGCTAGATTTAAACAAGAACATGCTGACCTTAGAAGGCTATTGCCACATATTAATCACAGCTTAAATTAACCACACAATGCCAGATATGTGTTATTGGCCAGAAAAGTAGATACAAGCGGTTGAATTAGAATGAGACTCACTCTGGAGCGGCTGTGTATGAAGGTCCGGGTGATCTTCAACATGTGTGTGTATTCTGTGAGCTCCAGCAGGTTCCTCTGAAGCTTGTCTTTGTTGTTCGCCACCTCGCTGAGCTCCATCTCCAGCCTCTGAAGCTGCTCCTGCATGGAAGGAAGAGAATGCCAGCTTAACTTAACATCCGGCAGCATAATACCCTGTTCATATCAAACGGGACATGAATTTGTGAGTTAGTAATTTGTCTACAATTCAGGCCTCTGTGACTATAAAGAGGTTTGTAGGTTATCTCTAAATCTCTAGAAGAGATCCACCTCTTAAGCAAGGTTAAATTAATATATTATCTCCATTTCCTAGAATTCCCGAATAAATCGGGTCTGTATTTAACCAAACACTCATTACTAATAACTATGTCTCAATAACGATCTACTGTCTTCTTAATTATGAAGTAAATAACATTTTCTTAAAACTCAATATTTCTTAATATTAATGAGTTTATTGTTGTTTCCTGACTCGACTGAAAAAGAAAAAGCAAGACTATGCTGCTGCATTAAAAACCGGCTTTATTTTTTTGCTCCTTCAAAAATATAATAATCCTGGGCTTTCAAAGGCACAACTTTCCACTCCTAAAAGTGGAAACAATTGTCACAAGGTGGAAAATTGTGAGCCTAAATAATTTTCCACTGCTGGCATTGAAACAGAGCACAGTTTTAAGAATAAAAAAAACATGGAATAATTGGTGACAAACTTAATTAGGGGTTGAAGAGCTAAACAACTTCCAGAGGAGATTCTCCAGTTACTGACAGAAACCAGAATGTTTTTGTCATGTTTAGATGAATTTCAGAGGCCAGACTAAATCTGAGACTGAAGTCATAGAAATCTGAATATTTTCAGATACTAAATATAATTAACAGTAAACTAAATATAATTAAATTAACAATATGACCTTAAAGGTATAAACAAGAAGCCATATACAAGCACTTCTGTAGACTTACCATGATCTCCAGGACCTGTCTGGGCGGAGGAGCAAGTGGACTCTCGTCTTCTTGAGGCACGGCAATTTTAGCCTTCTGGATCTCCCTCAAAAGGAAGCCTGTGTGTTTTATGAAAATGATCACTTTTAGGAAGAAATAAGGCACATCACAACCATTCACTATTATACAAAATGCACACAGCCAGCAATTTCCTGCTCACTAAATAGATAACTATTTGTTAAGGATGTATGCTCAGGCTGCTTCTACATCCCAGGTACACAGAGACTTACCCAGGATCCTCTCCATCTCCTCGCACCTCTTGATTTCGCTGACGAAGCGCCGCTGGAATGAGCTGACACTGGGGTTGAGCTGAAATCAGAGGAGCACCATTAGTCAGGCGAGGTGGCAGTGCAGCACGCGTGTGGAAATATAATTACCGCCGCCACAGTGGTTTAAATATTGGTGTTCAACAACTAGATGCAAAGATTGAGGGCTAAAAAGAACCTAAAAACTACTTGCCAAATTTTAATTCAATTCAATTTATTTATATGGTGCCACTTCACAAGAAATGTCATTTAGAAAAATTTACCAACTCCCCCCCCCAAAAAAAAAAAATTCAATTCACACATGCATAACACATGGAAAATATTTATTGATAGATGGATGGGCCAACTCATGTAATGGTAACAAATCTTGCTGGATGACAAATTCTTCCAGAAGTTATTGTAATAAATGGCAATATTGTTGTTTTGCGACCATTTTCAAGCAATGTAATAATGGTCATGGCATAATAATGCAAGAACACATCCTCAATGATAATTCAACTTTAAATTCTAATCAACATTTAACACTAAAACTGGAAGCCATTTTAAATATCCAAAGTAAATCAACAAAACAACAGAAACTATGAAGTGACTGTAAACAAAATGGTCTTTTTTGAAAAAGGCAAATGAACCAAGCAAGACTTCTGTCATCCAGGGTTTGGTAAAAAGAGAAAAAAAGATTATTTTCAAAAAATACAAATCAAGAAAATGAAAATTTTTGAGCTTGTTTTTAATCTATGATGCAATTGACAGATTTTTTTTTTTGCAGGTTTAAATTAGCCATGAACAAAAGATAGATAGCTAGATAGATAGATAGATAGCTAGATAGATAGCTAGATAGATAGATAGATAGATAGATAGATAGATAGATAGATAGATAGATAGATAGATAGATAGATAGATAGATAGATAGATAGATAGATAGATAGATAGATAGATAGATAGATATAGATAGATAGATAGATAGATAGATAGATAGATAGATAGATAGATAGATAGATAGATAGATAGATAGATAGATAGATAGATAGATAGATAGATAGATAGATAGATAGATAGATAGATAGATAGATGTGCAAACTGTGGCTCTATTTGTACTTACATCTCTGAACTCGACCAGCCCCAGCTCTCCCAGCTCACTGATGCAGTCATATTCAGAGCCGGACTGCAGAAACAATTGCGCCAGGCACATTTCCTCACTCCGAAACACCATTTTTTATTTATTTATTTATTTTATTTTATCTGCCACAGACAGTCAGACAGGGCTGATAATCTTCCGGTGACCGATTGATCCTGAACACCGAGCTGTCTGCTACAACCCAACGCAGCACATTACAGAATTCAACCAACGTAATCCCCTTCAGACAATTAACTGATTAATTACTGCCTATTAATGACGACTGCTTTGAAAATTGAATTATCCACATTCCGGCTCATGGTTTCTCTATCCCTCTTTAAAAAAAACAAAAAACAATATCCAATAAGAAAGCGTCCAGCGAACAAAAGGGATCGCCTAAGGGATCGTATTTTGGCGTCGAGCGACGGAAGAGAAAGGCGTCATCCTGGAGCCTCTTCACCTTTTACACCTGCCGCTGCCGCGCGCAAAGGGGGGGAACGGTAACCCAGCAACGCGGGTCGGAAAGAACCAAAACCAGCAACGAGGTTAGTGGAAATGAATCATCAACCCAGTTTGTAGACGAGCAGAAGGCAGCTTCGCGTGTTGAACAAAAATAAGCCCCGGTCAGAAATAGGCTACGGCCTTTATTCGCTCCACGGCAATTGACACAGATTGCGTCTCCGGGTTGCCAGGTAGCGTCGGCGCCTCCGGAAAGCAGGCGAGTTTCGCTGTGATTTACGGCGCCGCTGAGCCTGCGAGATTCAAATGTTCTGCACCTTATGCGTGCAGTTAAATACTCTCGCCTGCCGCAGTGTTTTCAAACACAATGCCGGCTTTAAATTCTAATTTATCGACCACATTTGCAGATTATTCTTGCGGATTACTCTTGCAGAAGCAGAACCGTAATCCTAAACTCAAAGGCATTGTCCGAACTCAGACAAAAAGTCCACTAGGTAAGCCCAATTGATGCTCTTACACACACAAAACATTTTTTAATTAAATGGTAGGCTACTTATTGTTTACGCCTCTGTTGTTTCATATTCGACTTAATCCGCTTCAAGAGAAACAGTTGCGATGTGTCAGTGAAATCCAGGCAGTTCATTCCTTTGTCTTTTTAATTTATGCGGGATTGGCCACAATCTTTAAAGGGGGATGTTCTCTCACAAACCTGGCAACCATCGCATTTTCTTATTCGGCTCCATCGCTGTAAACTGGCCGACTACAGGCTGTTCAGATGTTATTCCAGATACTTTCGAAGCAAAAAAAAATAATAAGACAAAACACGTGCATACTCTAGATTTTTTTAAATAAATATTGTAGTCAGGAAATAAAACAAGTTTAATCAAAAACAACATTTTTTAATTCAGAGAAACAGAGCTCTATACTCTAAAGGATATACAGCACAATGCTACCACCACTTTGCTTGTTCAAAATGATTAAAAACTGATTTTGTAGAACTTGAAGAACATTTCTCGAGGCCTAACTTCAACTCGGTTATAAGTTGGAATCATATCAAGAAAGTAATATATTTAAATACAATTTCTAATAGTATGAGGAAATTGTCAGGAAATTGTTGCAGTCAGTGTCTGGCTTCTCTGCAGCCATATTTGCCTTTTTTGATGGGAGTCTCTGTAAATAGCTAATCCTGTATGTATGATTCCAACCTGTTCACTCATATTTATGCTGCATCATCATTGCATCCTAAAAAAGATGACTATTTAAATCTTTTTAATCTGCCTGTAATCTATACGAGTGTTTTTTTATTTAAAGAATTTCTTCATTTTACACCAACAATTTCTCTGTGAATTTAAACTGACACTAAGGACTACATTAGTAAATATGGTACATGTGAGGAGTTTTATGATTTCTAAGCTTTCATACTCTGAGCCAGGCTGTTGAGTTCCTGCGACAGAGCCGTCACCGTGTCCAGGATCCGCTGCTTGTCCTTCTCCTGCAGTCGAGCTTCACACCGCTGAGCAAACTTATCAGGATGCCACAGTGTCTGCTGCTTCCGGAGCGCCTTGCGAAACGCCGCCCCGTCCTTTCGGTCCACACCGTGCAGCATCACGTCCAGCATCTCCCGGACGGTGCCCCTGGGAGCTGGCCAGGGGATGTCGCTGTAGCTCAGCTTCGTGCCAACTGATGTTGAGGCGACTGCGCTGAAGGTGGCGGCACATTTCTCGTCGTACTGCCGTTTCTTTCCCTGCCGGACCTCTTCCTCTTTGCGTGCCGCTCGAGCCAGATACTCCTCGTGTTCTCTCTGCAACCTTTCATGCAGCTCCTTATTGCTTTCCACTTTTTGTTTCTTCTTGTCTTTTTTCCACCTGGAAGACCAGCTTGCCAGTCTTTGAGCTTCGGCGTGTTTCTTGTTAAAATACTCTCTTCTGATACGATCCGCCCAGTCCCCAAAGTCTTCCTCCTCTTCGTCGACAGGTAGGTAATCATCAGCTGCCAAAGAAAAGCATCACAGTTGAAAGAATCAAAATATCACATCTTAAATGTAGTAATCAACATGTACCATATGCTCCAAAGGTTTCAAAACATTCGTCCTCGCATGCATCGATCAGCTTCCCCATCCAGGACCGCTCAGGATCTTCCTCAGGTGGATGACTCATGCTTTGATTAGTCTGAATAAGTAAAGGGAAAATACATGTAAATATCACCCAAGACCAACTCAGCGAGTTTGAACGCGATGGTGAAAGTTATAAAATGTCATATTCTGTTATTTTTTTTAATATATAGTCAATATATATTAAACATTCCCAATTCATAAACTTCCTAAAGTCCAGTTATTATTTGTCTTTCTTCCAACCTGCTCCAAATGGGACATTGCTCACATCTCTGGTGCTTTTTACCACTAGATTATACGTGCAAAATCATCACTCTATAGAGTTTAAAAGAAATGACTTCACTTATTTTGCACTTAATAAAAGTGAAGGAATTTTATTTCACAGTTTTTCTAGCCAATAATGTTCATCCAGAAAATCTTTTGAGCATTATCATCCTAAACTTCACCAAGTTACTATTTGCTCAAGGAAAATCACAAACAGGAGCATCTTTCTTTTGTCATTGCCTCTTGTTGTCCTTCACTGGTCCAGGAAGTGTTTTTCTCCTCCCTGCTGAGAAAACATGTTGCTGTTGACGCATCTCCTTTGCTATTTGGAGTTTTTGTTGTTTTGTACCAAACTTTCTTGATCAGGAACCCTTTCATACCAGTCCTGGGTGTATTTGTGCCTGCTTTGACTTCTGCATATGTAAAATATGTTTCTATTGCTTACTCATAATCAACTGCAAAGAAATGTTGTCACGTATTTGCCTGGTATGTGAAGTGAATGATGTGCTTTGATGTGTTTTTAATGTTAGTTTATTAAAAATGTATGTTATTTTACAGTTATGATCTGTGGTTAGATGTGGTAAGACAACGTGCTTGTAAGTTCATGACGGAATTTGTTAAATTGAGTGAATAAACTGAAATTTGGACCTACATGTTGCTACCGGCAACCTGTATAAACCAAAATATATGCAATCTGAATTAGAAAACCAAGTATGAGATGTAGTTGTGGAGTATTTCCTGCTTGTTAGGGCATATATTAATCAATAGAAATAACTTTATGTTTTAGATTAGTGTTAAAGAGTTTGACCAAGTTGCTGACCTGTGATTGATTCATCAAGTCCAGCACGACTTGCGGTGTAAGTCCACGATTGTTTGGGGTATTCAAAGCTTCTGGGCATTTTTCCTTGAGAGGTACGAACAAGTCCTTATAAGCTACGAGATAAAAACATAGAAAAAAGTTGAAATTAAACCAAACAAAAGCCAGCTGTTAGTATTAGAGGTGAGCCTCTGAATCCTCACCGGTTTTCCTGTTTACGAACGTCATGTTGGCGGCGATGTGCAGCGCCGTGTTTCCCTCTCGGTCTTTGTGGAGAACATCGGCTCCGCGTTTGAGCAGGAGCCGCAGCACAGCGTCGTCTTCCATGGAGCAGGCTAGCTGGAGCGGGCTCCTCCGCATCTTCCCCTGGGAGAAGTTCACATCAAGGTCCGGGTGCTTTTTGAGGTACGACTTCAGCTTCAGGAGCTTGCCTTCCTCCACATACCGCCACACCCGGGCCTGTCGTTGGGACACCATTCAGCCAGCAAATACCTACAATTACCTATATCTAGTTTTCTATTCCTACATTCAGGGAGACTCTTACCAAACACAGAACTAGGCCTCGGCCTCTTTTTACTGTTCCGTCCGTTAAACACGTCCGGGTTTTGCGGAAACCTCCACATCAACGTTCCGGGGATGTATTTGTTTTCCCCTCAGGTCGCCACTAGGTGTCACTGTTGGCCTCGTTTTCTGAGGCTAACCCCGCTTTACTGCCATTTTGTTTTAAAAATAGACGCGTTCTTGAAAGCAGACTGCACTTCATTTATTTCTAACCAAATATAACTTTTTAGCGATCTAAAATTGTACTATTTGTGTCACGATACCCCTATTCATTTGTTTGTCCACACTATAATAACGTTTCTCTGTGCAAAAGCATTATGTATATTTGAAAGTGATTTTTTTTTGCAATGAAAAACCTGTTGATAAAAGAGACAAGTTTTATTTGAGATATCTAAAATAATTTTTTAAAAAGCCCAAAGTTCTGATCACCAGCTATTTTTGAATAAACAATAAAACTACTGATAGTATTTAAATTGTTTTAAAAAGTTCAAATTCTTCTTCATGAATCACAGGCAGCAATGTGATTACCCTTACAAAGATACACCCACTCAACTAGAGTCAACGGGCAAGCGGAGGAGTACACCCAGATCACCAGGCTATCACAAGGTCAAAAATGCTTATTTAGATTCGGTTTTTTAATACTTAGACTGGTAAGAGAGGAATTTTTCTGCTATAACTGATACTTAGAAAGTATGATAAACAGAAGTTTGATTGTATGCTACAACGCCGCTGTGGTTCTAAAATTTCCCACATAATTACTGTGGCCTAGACTTGTGACCCCAGCTGTCGCTTGTTGAACTATGCAAACATTGCTATTAAGCCAATTAAACAGAAACATAATGACATGACAAACTAAATTTATAAACTATTTGCTCTCATTTCATTAATTTATGACTACATGAATAGTCTTTAGTGGCATAAAATGGAACATAATCAAAGCATTCATTCTGAAATTCTATTTCATTTATGGAGATAATCTGACAACGTTATACTTTAGAATAAAAAATCTGATATTTCCTGATCTGAAATTTGAAGAACGTTGTATTGCTAATATTAGCTGCTCTCATTTTTGTGTCTGTATTGAATCAGTTTGTTTTGAAATTTACATTCTAGTTTGAAGGATTTATCCATCCATCCATCTTCTGCCGCTTATCTGTAATGACAGGCTAATAACCCCCCCACCCCCATTAAATTTGCATATGATAACACCTATATGAAGAGGCTCACACTTTCAGCATGCAGTTGCTTTCTCAAATTAACACCACTGTTGTACCTCAGAAATCCAGAGCCCTGTATGTTCTCTCATATGATAACTGTGGGATTTTATAGCTCAACTTTCAACAAACCACCTGCTGAATAAGTGTAAAATGAAAAAACAGAAGCCTAATTTTCTTAGTTTTTACAAGATATAAACTAAAAAAAAATTTCAATTGAACATGAAATTATCAAAGCATTTTGTAAATCCAGTGTTACATGATTCCATACTGTGTTTAAGTTTTATTTAATGGCCCTGGACATCATACTGATGACTGTATCTGGTGCGGAGAAACAGCTGTAACAGCTGCCCAGCAGCTGACTTACTTCTTACTTTATCCTTCAAGACTGAACAAAGAACCTCCTGTTTAAAAGAGGCTGGGACTTTATTTTAACATGCGTATTTCATGTCACACAAAGAACCATTAAATTTTTTACAAATGGGTACAGAAATAGACATATAACACACATAATAAAAACAATTCTAGGGCTTTTTTTGTCAATATTTCTGAAACATATAATTTGTTTTGACTTTAAATGTTCTGCTGAAATCACTGCAGTCATATTAGATAAATAGGTTTGGAAATCTTCAAAAAATCTTTGACATCTGTTAATTTAAAGATTAAAAATGGAGTATGATTTTTGGTTTAAATGAACAGTTATGGAAAGTCGCACTGTGCAGAAGTCAAGACATGAGGATTAAATCATTGAGATGAGTTTCACCGAATTCTGATCCTGTCTCTTCTATTCATACTTCATTAGTTTTAGTTGATTAAGTTGTTCAAAGTCATGATGAATACTGCCATGTTTGATGTTTTCAGGATGCTGTTCTTGACTGTTCCAGGTGTTACTATTATTTATGTTCGTATATAACAAAAGAAGTTGGAGATTTCATGACAGGAAGGATTTTTGCATTGGAAACATCTTTGGAAATAAAAATTAAAAAATTGTCAATTTTATGATTGTTTGTTTCCTGTTTGACGTTGCCATCAAAATAAGAGGATTTTATATTATATTGTAATATTTGATTGGACCGCCTTTAACCACATGCTTCACTCAGGGAAAGTGAGACTTAATTGCACTCTGAACAGAAAAGTTTGTTGTTCTTTTATTTAAAAGTTTTATGTTTTCTTTTCTTAAATTATAGCAGATGCAGCTATCCAAAAAGCTGTGGTGGTTTGTCAAATTATTAAGACGATATAGTTCATATTAAAATGATCTAACGCAAACAGTTGTGATTCTTTCCTTTGTGTTTAATGAGAAAGGCTGCATCACAATTTGTGGTAGAAAGTCTAAAGGAAAAACCGGTTTGTCGGATGTTTTCTTTCCCAGTAGGGTTATACTGTCTACTCTGGCCGCCTCTCTTTTGTTCTGTTCACAGATGATTTGAAATGAACAAAGTCTGACTGTTGAGGAGGAGCAATGTCATGTGGGAACCTATGGATAAGGCAAACATTCCTATCCCTTATGAAATTTACCCAGGAGGTTTTTCTTTACATTACAAAAATGGTGGAAAATGAATTAGATCTTTTGTAATATATTGAATGCTTGTTCATTGAGTGATTGCAAATATTGTATCACACTTAGACAAGTCACAGAACAGACCTAAAGGCTGACGCTGTGGAGCGTCACTGATCTCACAGCTCCCAATCATAAAAACAATTTGCCATGATTATCAATATATAGCAAATCACGAAGAGATTTGGACAAAGTGCAGAGTCATTTTACAATTGTAAATCCTCTTCATTATGTATATTAATATACAAACTGAAGACTATAAAACCCAAATTAAAGCCCCGGTGTAGCATTTGTTGGCTAACAGGCATCTAGAGTTCAAATTTCCATTTGTAGTAGATTTCAATTGTCTAAATTTGTTGATAAAAAGCTTGTAGACACTGGCAGTAACATTCATTAACCCATAAACATTTTATGTACTAGCATGTAGTTTTTGACAAAACGTTTGTCAATTTGCCAGATAACAAACATAACATCTAATTCAATTCAGTTTGATTCAGTTAATTTCTATTGTGTCAACAAATGTCTTCTCAAATTACTTTATATATATATATTTTAAATTTAATCACATATTCTTTTCAGTTGATTCCAGCTACCAAACAGCACAGTATACTAAATTAATCATTCAAAGTAGATGAGAAAGTTCACAAGGAAACCCAGCATGTTGCGTTGACTCATTGACATCTCCATACACTGAATCACAATCAATCTACAGAATCAAAGTTTAAGTACAACAGACTGTAAAAAATGAAGGGATTCACAGATTCTAAATCTAAATCCTCTTAGAATACACATATAAAACATATTTGAACCCAGGATAGAGCCCTGCGGAGTACACATTGATTCACAAACTGCATTTAAATTTTCCAATTGCTTTTATCCACATAAAAACAACCACCAGGGAGGCAGTTTGGTGTTTTGCCCCAATTAAACAATTCACTTCTCTTGGAATGTGGTTGTGACAATGTCACAAATCTCTAAAAATACTTCTGAAATGAACTCCAGACTGATCTTCCTATTGACAGACACTATAAAGAAATGGTTTCTATCATCAACAGGAAGATGGACTCTCCACAGTGTGACTGAGTAAACATCAGAGTGCTTGTGCTTGTTTAAATTATTTAAACAAGTAAATCATCACAGTGGCATTCAAACACAGCAGAAAGCAGCAGCATTTTCTCATCAAGCTGTGATTAATGTGAATATAAAAGTAAAATAAGTACTATTATACTTTAGTAGTAAAGTTGCACATGTTTATAATCCAAGATAATCAGCTGGGCACATTGTCGTTCTGGACGAGGCGCTGATGGAGATTTTTATTTTTTTTTAGGGACTTATTACCTGTGAGGCCGACATCGTTGCAGCTGAGACCCTAAACTGGTTCAGGCCTGTTGGACATGACAGGGCCTCCATTTAGACCTGAGGGAGAGTAGGAGGCACAAAGGCGAGGATAGAGGAGAGAATGAAGGGAGTCTCTGTGCCTATTGAAGAGGATGATCCTCTCCAACCTAAGATCCGGAGACTCCTAAAGCTTGGACTCTTCCGCTCCGTCGGAAACTACGTGTCTTCACTAACGATTGCTGTCTTGTGTGAGCGTCTTTGAAAAGAGGCAGGCAGTGAGACGGAGAAGAAGGGAGAGATGCCTCCAATTAATCATTTCAGGGGGCTCAGCTCAGTTTGTTAACGACCATGTTATTGCCTGAATATTTAGAAGATCATGTTGAACATGAAGCATTTATCTGCAGTTATTCATTGCAGATAGGGTTGTGAGGTTAGCATCTTGTGAAAGTAAATAGACGTCTCTGAAGGACAGGATACCCAGATCAGGAACCTACCCTGACCACCCTCGGTCTACCTTTCCTGCTCGGCCTGCTGGATCCGTTTCAGGCCGCCAAGCCAGCTTTCCTCTGGGGAGGATGTTCTGGAAGAGCCGTGTGGCAGGAAGCTGAGGGTCCTCCAAGACTCCTCAGGGGTCAGCATCTCGTCCTTCCCCTCCAGGGTTGGACCCGTCTTCTGGTCCGGTCTGCAAGCCGAGTTGCTCTGCCTCTATTGTTAGGACAGGGGAGAAATATACGCATGCTTCCTTTGTCTGTTTTCTGCTTGACCCAGTTTATTAGAGTCTGATTTATGATGACAGGGACATGTGTTTCTGACATAAAGTGAGACTGGCCTCAAGCCTGCACTGAAAGCTGTGGCTTTTTGCTTCCCATTGATATGATAATGAATCGTTTAAGGAAGGCTAATAGAAACTCCTTTAGTTTATGCCAATATACATTTAAGTATATAGTCTGAAAACAAGGGGCCCAAGAAACTGGGATGTTTTATCTTTGTGCAACTTTTCCACAGCGAAAACAGAAGAAAACTTTGTGATCACGTCTAAACTCTTAGACAAATACTCTTTTGGTCAAATGGCATAAATCACTTCTGTAGACTTGCAGTTTGTCCACTTCATGCCATGAGATCTGCGTAAATTGACCACATTGGCCTCATAAAACTCGAAAAGCTCTGAAAGTAATCTAGTCAGATTATCTTTCACAGCAGGGCTCAGTCTTTGATGACAACAGGTGGAGAATGATGTGACAAGTTGTCCTGTAAAAAATGTCTGCTGCTTGGAATGGTGTAATCTACTTCTTCGAAGACTACATGCTTTGTTTCCTGGTGCATAACGGTTTGCACATGAAAACGTATGTTTGTCTGCTCCACGTCTTTTCGGAATTTATGTTACAAACCAACACAAATTTGTGCAGAACTAAGAAGCGGAAGAAAACTCGGGAGTTGCAAGGGATGCATTGTTTACAACATTTTTTACGAATCAAAATCTGGAAAGTGTGGTGTGCATTTGTATTTATCCCCTGAGGTCAATGCTTTTTACAACCACTCCTCTTTTAACAAAACTGTAAGTCTTTTGGGGCATGTATCTATTAGCATAACCTTTGCCAATTCCTCTTTGCAACATAGTTCAATCTCAGTCAAGCTGGAAGAAGAGATTCTGTGAACATTGATATTTAGTTCTTGCCACAAATTCTCGATTGGATTTATATCAAGACTTTGGCGAAGCCTTTGTAACTTATGCATATGGTTCTGTCTAAAGCAACCCACTGTCTGTCGACATGTTTAGTGTCGTTCTGCTGGAAGTTGAACCTCCATCGCTGTCCAACACCTTTTGCAGCCTCATGTTTTCATCCTGGCAGCTGCCACAGTGTTTCACAGTGAGGAGGGTGTGCTTGTCCTGCTAACAGATTCTCCCTCCTGGCTGTAAATGGTTGCAGATCCTCCAGAGTTAATAAGGGCCTCTTCGTCACTTCTCTGATTAATTCTTTCCATGTCTTTCTTTGACTGTGTTTTTCACAAAGATTCATTTACTTACCAAACTGGATTTTACTTATAGATGAAGAGTGAAAAGAGTAAATATACACATCATACTTTCTTGATTTTTATTATTATTATGAAAAACATTTTTTTTCATGTCCACTTTACAAATGAACTACTTTGTGTTGATCTCACATGCATTCCTAATACAATAAATTGAAGTTGCTGTTTGTAAAATGACATAATCTGAAGCCCTGTAATGCCAGATTTTAACATTTTATTTTAGCAAATATAACTAAGTTGAATCATATGTATGTTTTGAATTTAGAATTAGTTTATAATCTACAAAAGATTGCTTGCAGGTTACTTTTTCATATTGCAACTGGGACAGAAATGAAGAGAGAAGAATGACCGAGTGCAGCTGCTGAACTTTGTTGTTTCCAGTTAACAAAGATGTTTGTACTTATTCAAAGCCCAGCTTCATTATTCATGCTTACTGAAATAGAGCAAGTGAATCTATTTCCATTATTCATATAAAGCCATGCCACAAGGTATTACCAAGAGGAGAAAAACAGCAACACCCACCTCAAATCACTGATTAAGGATTAGTCCAATCCCTCTGTCTCCCTGCTGTTGCTGATTATATCCTATAAAAAGCTTATTAATGTCAAATTTGTTTAGTGTCAAAATGTGCTTTAAAGCTAAACCTGGACGGTATTTCTAGCTTCATGAAACAATTTGCTTTACCATCACACGATAGGGGACTGTGAAGAATATATTTAAATGAGGTTCTCGTACAAGATTACTGAAATACTGCTGCATGTGCCTTTGAGCTGCTGCTATATTGTGTTAGATAGTTATTTACACAGAAAATAACACATTATCCACACAGAAAATGGCTGTTGGAAATTGTGCATCATCAATTACCTTCCTGTGTGAAACACATGTATAAAATCAAATAAAAGAACATTTATGGTCAGATCCAATGGAACAGAAAAGTAATGCGGCGTGAAGAGCACAAATATTACATCTTTACATTGTCTTATTTTACTGTAAGTGAGACTAAAAATTGGCATGTTTTTCACTCATCATTAGAAATCTGAAATTTTTGTGTAAATGAGCATCTACTATAAATGTAACAATGATTTAAAGGTCAATAAAATTCTGCTCATGTGCACTGCAATGATATTTTTACACTGGACTTGATTTAAGCAACTAAAAGACTTTGGACCCTCTCCTTCCAGCCGTTAACGCCTTCCTGCAGGACCAGCTAAACTGGAAGTCTGCTAAAAGCTACAGACTATTTTGGTCATCATTTGAGGAATGCATTTTGGTAATTAACACTTGAGATTTTTACATTGTTTGGGAGACTACCAAATACTCCTGTGGCTGATCCATTTTAGAAACATTTGTCCTCGCTGGATTGTTTGTGCGAGTGAGTCGTTAGAGGAGAGGGAAACAGAAGTTGAGGGTGCATTTCCTGCAGACATGTGCTTTGATTTCAGCTCTCCCAAACACAATAGGAGGGGAGACGGCCTTCTCCCAGCAATGCCTCAACAGGAAGAAGCATATTTACCGGACAGGAGAAAATACATTCCAGTAAGACTTAACAAGCCATCAGAGGGAACAGAGTGACACCAGAGAGAGTGTTTGTTTCTTCAGAGCACCTTTTCTTTTAATACAAATCAAAAATAATGTATTTACAAAATTCTTTCATGTTGCTGTCAGGAGGAAATTCGGAGACATTCACCATCCACACACACAAGCACAAAACTCATACCCTCACACTGAGATGACTGTCAAAGTAGTCACCTTTTAATTGGACCTTTCACCAACCTGAAACCATTTGTCAGCTGCCATCTGTTTGTCTGTCTGGTCTGTCTGCAGGCAACCAGCCCCCCAGCCACTCTCCACACCCCGTCTCTCTCTCTCTCTCTCTCTCTCTCTCACACACACACACACACACACACACACACACACACACACACACACACACACACACACACACACACACACACACACACACACACACACACACACACACACACGCACACACAAATTTACAATTTACAACATCTTATCTGACTCCAACACCTTCGCTCCAGACTGGCACTCCCTTCCTACATGCTCACTTGGAGACGTAATGTAGCCAGACATGGGGAAGATACCACCGGCCGATCCGGTGGAGATAACTCCTCAAGTGCGCACTAATGACAATAAGAACAGCGGTGGTCCAGTCCAGTTCACAAAGTCCACACAACATCAAAGAGAAATTCATGAGCATTCCAGGAGTTTCCTCAAATAACAGAGTTTCATGCATTTTTCCTTGTTCAGTTTCACTGGCCAGTCACTTGAAGAGAGTCTGGAGTTTCTGTGAGATTCAATCCCCCCAAATAACAACATTCACTCCTCTTAAGTCCACACAGTCAGTGGCCTGGAGGGTGGGGGGCAAGTGGGCAAAGGTGACACCCTGAAACCGATTGCAGATGATGCTGCAAAGTTTTGTCTTTCAATCTCTTCCCACGCTCTGGTCACACCTTTGTGGCCAGTGACTGAGCCTCTGTCTTCTGTGAGGACATGGAGCTGTTTGGACTGGCATGCAGAAATTTCTTCAGATTAAGGAGGCACAGGCACTGAGATCTGAAGCGCAGGTCAAAGAAGGCATAAAGGAAGGGGTTGAGGCAACTGTTGACGTAGGCCAGGCAGGTAGCGTAGGGGTGAGCCAGAAGCAGGAAGCGCAGGAAGTCGCAGGTGGCGGGGACCAAGTCTACGTAAGACAAGGCATCAGCAGTCTTCACAAGGTGGAAGGGCAGCCAGCAGACAGCAAACACCACTACCAGGGTGGTGATGATCTTCAGCAGTCTCCTTTTACGCTGATCCTCCTTACGCAAGGTGTTGAAGTGGCGGGTGACGGTGCAGCCGATGAAGCAGTAGCACACCATCATCGCCAGGAAGGGAAGGAGAAAGCCAAGAGCCGAGGAGGAGATGCTGAGACCAGCGATCCACAGGTTCTCTTGCTCCTTAATGCTCACGACCAGGCTGAAGTCCATGGCACAAGATGTTCGGTTGGTTTGCTGCTCGTACTTGGTGGTGCGAAACAGAAGAGTGGGGGCAGCCAGCAGACCAGACAGCACCCAGATGACTGCGAGGGAGGCTCGAATGTGTCGACGGGTGAGCAGCTGGGAGCTGGTCAGGGAGTGGACAATGGCCAAATACCGGTCGAAGCTCATGCAGGTGAGGCAGAAGACACTGGCGTACATGTTGAGAAGCACCACGTAGCTGCTTATCTTGCACAGAGCCACTCCAAAAGGCCAGTGGTAGCCCATGGCGGTATAAACGGCCCAGAGGGGCAGAGTGACCACAAAAGTGAGGTCTGCCAGTGCCAGGTTGCCAATGTAGACGTCAGCAGCTCGATGCTTGCCTTGAGCCCTCCACACGGTGAAGATGACGATCCCATTCCCTGAGAGGCCAAGGATGAAGATGAGCATGTAGAGCACTGGGATGACAGAGTACGACGGCGCCCACTCTGAATAGTCGCACATAGTGGAGTTCTCTGTCTCCTCGTAGTCGTAGTAATCATAAGGAGCCGTAGTGATTTCCATTTTCTTCTTCTTTTTTTAACTTAATTTGAAGAAAAAAAAATTGTACAAGGCAGATAGATCCACTGGAGCTGAGACACTGTGAAGTCTGTTGTAGTGTGTGACATCTGCATACCCTTATATACACACCCCCATCCGGGTCGCACCCTACCACAACTCCTCCCCTCACGCCGATCTTTCCCTCTCAGCTCTCAGCTCCCCCATGGACATATCTGCCCATTTATTTTATTAGTAACCCAACTGGAAAATCCCCTAATAAGTCACTTTAAAACTTTAAAAATACATTTTGGGTTTTTAATTTGCATTTAAAAAATTACTCCCCACTGCTGTGCTTACATAGGAATTTGAAATGATAAAAGTCTTAACTCTCTGGGTCCATCTTGAAACATATTTCTGTGATTTGTGAAAACGAGAGCTAAAGGGACATGTCTGGACAGCAGGCTGATAGTAAAGAACAGACATTTTAATATCAATAGGGGGCTGTTTTGTTACTGGAGCACCCTCACATACCAGATGAAAAGAAAAACTGTAGGCATTTCTTTGCCTGTCCTGTTTCCCCTGCTCATGTTGAAACATGCCAAACAACAAAAATGGAAAAAAGATGTCCTCTTTTGATCACCTCCTAATGAAAATACTAAATAATAAGTTTGAATACAACTTTGGTCATAGTGGTATTTGTACTTCAATTAAGAATTTATAAAAATATTTATGTGTGTATATCTTGTAAAACTTTGAATAAAAATTATGCAGTAACTTACACAATGAGAAATATATGGTTTTTGTTGGCTTTTGGACTAAAATGTTGTTTCTTTTATCTGTCTTGTTCAAAACACTGAAAAGTTACTGCATCTTAAAAAACATTTTTTAACCTGTGTCTGGATCGATTAAAAGAGGGTGTGAACAACTACTATTTCTATTTAAACCTATAAGAAATAATGGTAAAGCACAATATAATGAGTATTTTCTTTATTTCTGGTGTCTGATGAAAAAAATAAATAAACAAATAACCAAAACACAAACAAGCTGGACTGCTCTCTTACCAAGTCTCTTACTCAGTCTGAATTTTATTGTCCCAGACTTGGCCCTCAAAAACTAGTACAACTTTAAAAATTACCTAGACTTTTTTAGATGCCTTCAGTTTTATTTTAGACTGTTTTTTTGTATTGTAATTTCTAAATCAAACAACCTGTGGTGCTTGAGGATGCTGAGAATCATAAACCGCTCTTCTCTCAAGCTAATTCAGGCACAAATATCAGACAGTAAACTGAGTCATGCTGTAAACAAAGCCAGTGGGTGTGTGATTTAGAAGACAGCAGGATATTTGCATCCCGAGGAAGAATAATTTATTAAGGAGAGAGAAAAACTCTTGTTTGAGTCTGCTAATCAACAGCAGGATATCTGAGCTCCGCTTTGCTAGCAGTTAGCATAGCGACAAACACTGTTTTGATGAGGAAATTGTGAAAACATAAAAACCTGAGTCACACAGAATTGCAAAGTATAAAGTTGGATAATGTAGCATTTATTGTTTTCTGTTTGAGTTTTATTAAATCAATCCATGAATTCTTTGATTAGCTGTTAGCTTGAGTGGAGCTGCCAGCAGTTGTTAGCTTGACTCAAATGTAAACCAGTTTCTCCAAATTTCTCTCTGCCCACTGCATGTAGGACAGTAATAGTGTTTTCTTTATGGCAGAAGTTGAAACATGGATATGGGAATGAAGTTAAAATAAGAATTTTTATGTTTGGTAAACCAGTCGGATTAACTAGCTGTTTTGTTACAAAGCTTGCTACTGTTAGCACAACAAGTAGCAAGCTACTTGTAATACAGTACTACTGAAAATACAGAATAAACATTCTGTATTTTAGGAATTAAAAAAAGAAGAAGAAAGAAAACAGGCAAGAGTTAGAAGTGTAAATAAACATTTTATCCCACCTTATCTATGGGTAATTAGCCATTACTACCTATGGTGGGAAATTAGCATAAAACTGGTTAGAAATTATGTTTATGCTAATATCCAAAACACAAACCCCTGGGAAACTGGACTTCTCTCTTACCAAGCTGACAAGTTTTATGCTAATTTATGCCTAGCAAAAAGCTAGTTACATTCTTGTAATTTCTAAAGCCAGTTAGGAATTACAAGAATGTTTCAGTTCTGTAATGTCAATACAGATCTTTCCATTGATCATTAAAAAGGGTAAGAAATGTTATTTTTTATAAAGCAGCATACAAAATTGTGTTTTATAGATTCATTGCTGTCTAATGAGGGGAGAAAAAAAAAACCTTTCTCTTTGTTAACAGCAGTTTCTCAGTTTTATTTTCTGGTCCAGATGGGACTTCTCAAGTCTTCAGCATGCCACATCTCTCAGCGGAGAGGCAGCAGTGGCGCCGGGGCACCGACCTTTAGACACAACTACTGTATCACTCAACAATCTTCCCAAGCCATCCCCCCTTCCTTCCACCCATCTTCCTACTCCTTCTGGCCCTCCTTAGTCATCCTCCTTTTTCCTCCAATTATGAAGATGATGATTTATTCCTGTTGCCTCTGCTTTCACCAACGTCACTTACCCCCAGACAGCTGTTGTTGTTGCCTGTTACTGGGATTTGGGCAATCTGAAATCAAATTATTTTGGAATGGCTCCATCCGGACAGCAGAAGGTGTCTCAGGGCGCTTTGGCAAAACCGGACGAAAGCAAACCGAAGTGGATCACAGCAGGCTTCTGATAGGAAGCCTTTTTTAGCTCCTTTCTGTGATGGGGAAATAAATCACCCTCCCTGATGATTAATCCATCTATAAACTTTTTTTTCCCACAGTCTGCTCATTAGAGCTACTGTACATAAATGCACTAAAGTTTAAGTGACGCTGAAAGGCTACTTGTGCAAGAAGGGGAGCATAATTGCTCTGCAAGAGTGAGAAGTTCCAGCTGGTCAAAGCTGCTGTTGTTTTGCAGAGCGTCCACCAAGATGCCCAGCATGCCACCAACTCTGCTTCCACAGCATTCAGCTCTTGTTTTCTCTCCTAATTACCCACCTGTGTGTCATATTAATTACTGTTGTTGTTTTCCTCAGTGTGGCATCATGTTGCAAGCCACACACCATGCACACAGAGATGACCTTTACGTTTATGTTTATGTTTTGTTTTTGCTTTTGTTTGGTATTTCTCTCTCTTTGTTCTATGGCCATCCATCAGTGGCTGCATTTCTGTAAGACTGAAGGGAAAGACTTTTGCAAGAGGACAGAAATGAGCAGCAGCAGCGTGTGTTGCAGGGCTTTGATCTATTATTGTGACAGAGTTCTCTCTTGTTTATGAGGCTTTTTTTAGTGATGCTTGTCACAGTTGGGGAGTGTGAGGTGTGTGTTCTTGTTGTTTAGGTGCCTGTGGAGGTCCGACAGTTGTTTGATGTGAGTGTTAAGCTGTCAGACCACATGTCCTGTTCAGAGACAGCTGGCTCTTCGAAGTGTGTGTGTTACTTCTGATCTGGAGAACTCTGACTTGAATTTATCTTAAAATTCATGACGTAAACACCCGAGCCAATACTAACAGCTCTCATGCTAATCGGGCCCCCTTGGCAAAAAATAAGCAATCATATCAAGGCCAAAATCCACTTAATTATTAGCTGCTGTTAAAATTAACACCTCCAGCAGACCTTAACTATTCCACCATTTGGGCTTCATCAGCCAATTCACTACTTTTCCTTCAGTCGATAATGAGAACGACACCACCTTGTGAGAAAAAAGGTCCCCAGGCTCAGAGATGTTCAAACCTTTTCACCACTATGTTAAAGCAGACTAACTCATGAGGAATTAGAAAAAATGTATATTTCCGAGGCCGCATCTCCACAGGGAACCTGAACAGAGTCGACAGGGATATATGTAAATACGGGGAGATCCTGGAAGAAAAAAAATGCTAGATGCTGCAAAAAACTTGAGACAGAACTGCAATGGAACGGATTAAATCAAAGTATACTAGTGTGTTAGAACGGTCCAGTCAAAGCCCAAATATTTGAAGTTGCTGTTTACAGGACTTCTCTGTGTAATTTGAGTGAGCTTGAGCCCAAAGACATGTAGTTTTCTGTCATTAGATGTACAAAATTGGTACACTGCAAAAGTCTTGCCAAGTATTTGTGGTCTAGTTTCTAATGCAAATGTCTTAATATATTGGAAACAAAACTAACTTACAAGTATCTTTTCAGAAATTTAAATAAAAAATCCTTAACGACGATGGAAAAGTACTAGATACTTGTACTTTCAAGTCTTATTTCCACTGTGGTAAGACATTTGCACTAGAAAATAGACCAAAAATACGTAGCAAGAGTTTGTGCTTTAGCATTAAAGTGACATCTTCTGAAAAACTTGCATCTCGAAAAGGTGATTCTAGAAAATGCTAACTCGGGGAAGCTGTGTACAAGTGTATGACATTCTTTTTTTTTAAATTGATATTTGTTAAGTAAAATTTGAAAACCATGTGGCATTTTGCTGTCATCTTCAACTGCACAGAGCTAAGTGCTGATCTATTATGTAACATTCTAATAAGATACATCAAATATCTGATACGACATGACAAAATATAAAAGTGTTTGTGTTTTGCAAAATAAAAACTTTTGCAAAAAACTACAACCTCACAGACTGTCCTTTGACTAAACATCTTCTAAATCTGTTGTTGCCTCATTCACCTCCAAAGCCGGGGCAGGATCCACACAGGTGAACATATTTGGACCGCACCCTGGGGGGCCTGCAGACTGCTGCAGACCAGAAAATTTATGCCACATAGTCCTTGTGCACAAGCGGAAGAGGAAACCATAAATTGAACTTTACTGCTCACCCAGGGAGGGTGTCATTGTCTTTGTGTTTTTGCTGTAAACACTCAGTTATAAGAATGAGCTTTGTGTTCAGGCCAGAGAAAACTGTTCCTGCTTTAAAGCCTATTGGCTGTTCAGGTTTTGAGCACCAAAAGATGAGTTCCAGTCAGTCTGGTTGCATTTTTGAAGAATCAAACATTTTTGTGAAAAATAGCTCATAAGTTCAACTCAATAGGAAGAAGAAAGAAAAAAAAAAGACATATTTTGGTATATTCACAATCACCAGCATACCAGGAGGTATCGTGGTCTTCTTCTCTACGCAGCAGCAGCGGCAGCGGCAGCAGCAGCAGCAGCAGCAGCAGCAGCAGCTTCCTTTAACACCCCACTAACCTCCTGCCCTGCTGACTGCGGATCAGTTGACCGGGAGAGCGTGTTGACAGAAACCTTCCTGCTTCCAAAATGTTGTTGTCATCCGAGCCAAGTGAAAAATATTTACCACGAATGAAAGCGAGGAAAGGAGGGAAAACAGTTTTTACAAAAAGGTAAAAATAGCTGACGTTTTCCATCAGGGTTGCCAGTAAATATCTGAGGTTTGCATCACGGCGGGGCGCCTCTTAGGAGACGAAGAGGCGCCTCGCCGTGACAAGTTTCAACTGGAGAGGCTCATTTATCTGATGAAGAAGCAGACCGGAGACACAAATCATATCAGATACACTTTGTTTGCACTCAGAGTAGGTGCCATCAGTGTTTGTGTCAGCTCACTGTCTGACACAAGATAACTGATAAGTTAGGAGGCTGGTTTATTTGTTGACGAGATCAGTGTCACTTTGTGAGATTAGAGAACAAATACAACAACTGACAAAAGTTTAGAGGGGAAAAACAGCTTGCAGCAGCATTGTTGTTCCATATTTTGGTTTATGATTTACTTATTGCAACTTGAAGTCCTGTGTTTGAAATTACTGTATAATTTTGTACTTTTATTTTATCCCCAGCCTGGATAAACATATGTAAAGGAGATAAGATTGAAAAACCCTGGATGATAAAAACTAGGCCTGATGAGGAGCCTCAGGGCTGTGAAAAGTATTTACCCTCTTTATCAAACAGATTTTACTATCAGACAAGGATAACCTGAGTAAATATTAAAATCTGGTTTTTTTAAGTGGAAAATTGAAAATTCACTGTAAAGAAAGGTTTAATATTGGATCTTTAGCAACGCAGCTTTACTGCTCTCAAAATAAAATGTCTAGGTGCGTACAGTATGCAACATTTTTTATGTTTTATTTTTTTTTTCTTTATTTAGATTTTTCAGTTGTTTCCACATTAAACATGGAGGGAGTTGCTCACAACAATGAACTCTTCTCCACATCTCTTTTCCATTGCATGTTAGTCATACCTTTGACAAACTCATATTTTTTACCGAATGTTTTGTGAATATTACATAACAAAAGCAGAAGATGTGTGCTTGACATATCCAGGAATTATTTAGGAACAAAAAAAAAAAAAAAAAAGCCCAAATAGGAATTGAAGTATGAATTAAATCCCATCTTGGCGCCCTGAATGCAACACAACCGATGGGAGGGGTGAAAACCCTGGAGAGGTCGACCCACACATGCAACATGAACTGTGTTGTATGGATCGCTACGTTTCTCTGAACTACGCATAGTTTTTGAAACATAAGACGTCAGTATAGTTCAAAGGTTGCGAGAGGCGCACATAAAGAACACGCCCTGAAATCCTTCATCTTAATGCACAATGAGAAGGCCGTGACTGAAGTAGATGCAACACAATAAGCTATTGTAACTTCAAACCAAAGGTCCTGCTGAACATATGCTTTTGTCATTACTCTCATTTAATATAGCCTATGAGGTCACCTGCTGATGTGAGTAAAAAAAAAAAAACTTACTGTCTCCTGTGCACATGGTGATTAAAACCCACTCCATTTCCTTTTACCCTAAAAGAAAATGTTTAACCTTACATTTATATTGAGACGGGTCGGCTGAGAATGGGAGCTGATGGGTTGTAATATTATATAGTGAGTTAAAAACGATACATAATTATAAGAAAAAGGATTAAGTTACTGGGAATGGCTGTTTTAGTATTAGAGGATTCTCCAGTGGAAAAACTCAAACTACAGAAAACATAATTTAAAAAAAGGCGCCACCAAAGAGATTGAAACTAAAACCACATATTACAACAATGATGCATGAAAAGAAATCTTGAAGAGGTGCGGGACTGAGTGAAACAATAAGCTGCAGACAGAAAACCTGCAATTCATACCAGCATGTCTTCCTGGATTTAAATGCACTTCAACTTCCAATGCTGAAGTTGGAGTGTATTTCTAAAGTCTGATCATCAGCATGAATTTATTATAAAGCAAGTTTTTAATGCCAGTGGTGTTATTTTTGCAAGTTTGAACAAATACAAAACATACAACTGCAGAAGATTTCAACAAACAAGAGCTGCCTGAACAGGTTTGAATTTCCCAGAGACTTTCTGGAATCCATACAGGTTCTGATAAATACCGTATTTTCTGGACTATAGAGCGCACCGTACTATAAGCCGCACCTACAAATAAAAAAACAAGCAAAAACAAAAAACCAACGTACATACACCGACTCATAGATTTGTTCACGTTGAGTTACGTCTATTTCCCTCCTGTACTGACAGATCGAAAGCCTTCAACTTAAAAGCTGGATCATATGACAACATTTCTCCATCATGCCTGTTGCTAGTCTGTGCTTGTTCTAAATAAAATCAGCACTTTCTTCTTTGATTTCCAATTTTGACTTCCAATGATTCACTTCCTGCTATAGAGCCCCCTGGTGGTTGAAGAAAAATCCACAGAAAAGCAGCAGATTATTGTTTGAAAAACACGGTACATATTTCATTAAATTTCACTGCTTTTCTTGGAGAATTGCCAGAGCTAATTTAGATTGGCTTGTTCCGTTTTTAAGATTTTAAAGCAAATATTCAGTGAGGTTGAAGAAGAGGATTTTAACATCAAAATCATTTTGATAAATTTAGTATAATTTAACTTTTTGAACACCAAGTTCTGTACAAATTTCAACCACAGGTGCTTATTCTTTATTACACCCACTTTGCAAACAGTGCACAAATATATAGCAAAAAAGACCTTCAGCATAATGCTGCCGCCGCCGTGCTTGATAATTGGTGCTGGTTTTGAATCTGAATCTATGCAACTTGTTAATGTTTCAAAACAGCTGAATCTTTTTCATCTGAGCATAAACGTTTCTCAGATATTTTGCTCGTCCAACATTAGTTGAGCTTGAAAGGTTCCACTTTCAGAGTTTCAGACTCAGGTACTGCAGCAGTTTTTAATTCATGGGAGGTTTGATACATCTTTGTTCCAAAATGATTCTGTTTTGAAATCTATAATCATCTCTTTTGTTCACACTCAAGATCATTTAATAAATATGATGAATCTAAGTTTTGATTTTAAGCACTTAATATTGAAAACCTGTCTCCTCAGCTTGACTAAAATCACCTCGAAACGTGAACCATTTTACAGTGTGTGACCTACGTTTGCCAAGCTTGGGCCAATGTTTACTTTGGCGTTATCATAACCCGCTGATGCTTCTTCTGCACACCATCAGCGTCTTATCAGGGCCTCAGCAGCTCAGCTTCGCTCTCGCAATCACACAACCTTACACAACGACAGCGCTCCCCCCTTCTCCTCCGCTCCCAGTGTGTATCCTCTTCAAGCTTCCAGCTTCCTTGCTGAGGAAAAGGAGGACGAGATTGACAGGAAGAGAGGAGACAGTGGGGATGTGACACAACAATGGCAGGAAGTAACTTCAGATTGATGCAGATGAATGAAAAACACCATCGACACGGCAGAAACGACTTAACAAACATCCCATGCAGAGGTAAACACGTAACAAACAGTGCCAAGGGACTTTTACAAGGTGCATGTCTCATTATGGACTGAAACAGCAAAACATTTGGCCACCAAACAGGGAAAATCCGGTTTCAAAGGTTCCACCAGTTTTACTTTGACCTAAATTGACCCGGTGCAAACGTTAGAATAGTGATGTGCATTTGCATCTTGTGACAGTAAGTTTATCTATTTATTTTTCTTTAACAACAACTGATTCCAGATTCTTCACCCCTAAAACATTTGTGGTCCAAAAGTGGAACAGGATTACTTTTCTTGGAATTTGCTGCGTCCTTTGTGTTTAACTGAACATAATATGATATGCAAAGAAAATAAATGAAAAAACAAAAACAAACAAGAGAATAACAGTAGTAAAACATATTTACACATTCAAAGGTGTGAATATGAACTTATTTTTACACCCACTCATCTTACATCTGTAGCATCACCCAACTTGGTTTTAACATTATTTCTTAGCTCATATTTTCTATATTCATATCTATAATCAGCAGGCATAATTTGTATCAAAATGAAGCCTTGATTTTAAAAATACTCCACAAATTTCTGATGAGCTCTGAAGCTTAAATGGTCTTAAGCCATTTATTCACTATATATATATATATATACACACACATTATATATAGTTTCAAGCATTTAAGAATCAGAAATCAGTGATTGACATGATGTCATCTTTGACATCGATTTTCTTCTTCATTGAATATAATAGCATTAGCAAACAGTCAGTTCTTGGATGGACGGATTACACAACAGCATAACCATGTGAAAGCTGTAGGTGTTACTGTTTCGACAAGGGCTGATTATAAAACAAACTAAAAACCAAAGATTCAGATGTTCACTAGATCTCTGTCTGGTGGGGACGCAGATTGAACAAGCAGTGCTCAAACATACCGTTGATCACTGTTTACATCTTGTCTGATGTTGATTTAGCCGGGGGAGTTTCAAAATATTATATCATCATTATATATCATTATATTTTTATATATATATATATATATATATATTATTATATATATATATATATATATAAACATATATATATGAAGGGTTATATAGTTTATATATACATATATAAACTATATATTCATATATATTTGTTTAAAGATATATATATAACTGATTACTATTTTCAGTATCGAGTAATCTAACGCGTTACTATTTCAAATCCAATAGTCAGACTACAGTTACTTATCTAAATTACTTTGCGTTACTATTTTCTTTTGTCATTAAATTTTACTTCTACGCGCCTTGGAGAGTCCATGCAACAGTATCAGCAGCGACAGAAACATAAACAGTTGAGGGAGATGCGTATTTTGTTGCAGGAAAAACAGGAACAATTTTCTAGTTTCGCTCGCCAACTCCGATCATTATAAGCAGCTTTGTTTTTCTAAGTTGCTTGTAGATTTAATGAGTCGCGGTTTTTGGGCTTAGTAAATAAACATAAAACCTGGAATCTGTCTGACATTTTAGTTAGACTCTCTCTGTCCATCATTTCCCGGATGATACGTCGCGCTCTGTCTTTGTTAATATCAGGTTAATATTTGACATCTGATTGACGTCGAGCTTCGCGTTGCGCTGCAGAAAATCAAACATCGAAACTAATAGGAACGGCGCAATAAACGTGAAAACAGCCATGAACGAGTCCATAAAGTTGTGCAACTAAACGCCATAATAATTATCAATATTAAAATCTTATTTCTAATTTTCCAGACAATACATACAAATGTTTCTGTTGTAAACATTAAACAGTCTCCCCTTCAGTTTAACCATATAAGTGGAGACATATTGTTTATGTAATCGTTATAAACTAACAATTAAGTAGCAGCAAAGTTTCTACTTACGCCTAAGTAGAATTTCAAGATCAATTAACAAGCAGTGATTTCAGACTGGAGCAGGAAGCCGGAGCGCCCGGAGAGAAACCTGCAAACACAAAACTACTTTTGATATTTACGCAATATAATTGCAAAATGTATTTTTGACATTTGCTGAACAGAATTTAGGCTCTAGTAGCCAAAACGACTTTAAGTAAAAGCAAGGGGAGAAAACTCGAGGCAAAGACCAGTAAGGACTTTGGGAAGAGGCCTGGGAACCTGGAGAGAGCCCACTGATGCAGGAGAACAAGCCGTGAAGGCAGAAGAGCCCAGGAACTGATTCAAACCCACAAAATGGTTTTCAATCACAAAAATGTGTTTTAACCATACTAACAGAATTTAGAGGCCAATTAACTAAACAGTGGTGATTTCAGACTATGGCAGGAAGCCGGAGTACCCGGAGAGAAACCTGCAACAGGAACCTGTCTAAACTTTTTATACTTTTATCCCATAAATCACACACATGTTTGGTCCCAGTCAGATTTCTCCAGCCTCAAATTGTTTCCTAATTACGTGTTTTGGTTTTTTTCTTCTAAATTGAGTATTTTTAGCTCCTCTTCTAAGGCATCTTTATCATCTTCCAGAGGAGGGCCTGGAGAAACTGTAAAATTCACGATTCTTGAAAATATAAATCTGTCCATTTTGTGGCATGTCTTCACTGCAGTCTGCAATGAAGACATGTGCCAAAATTGACTGACTTACATTTTCTCATAAACATAAATCAGGCCATTTTGGCACATGTCTTCACTGCAGTCGCTGTCTGCAGTGAAAACATGCTCGTCTTCTGCCTTCACGGTTTGTTCTTTCATCATGTAGATGTGGCTGGAATCTCCACAGGTGACGGCGGACGTCCTCCTCCCTTTGCTGGTCTTCGCTCGAATCCTCCCCAGGAAAGAAGCTATCACAAACCTTTTTCAATCCAGTCAACACTGCGTATCCTATTCCCCATCCTAATGGTAGAAAAAATGGCACTAACGCCTCTGATAAACGGAACATTATATATAACACGCAAATATATGTGTACCAACAAAATCCAAAGAACGGTCTGGTTCTGACTGACGGTTTCAAGCATTTAAGAATCAGAACTTTTGATCTTCTGTGATGGACATGATGTCATCGATGACCTCATCAGTGAGCTCACTGGGCTTCAGGCGCAACTCTTGCTTCTGATCGTTGCTATGGAAACGATCAGCTCAGTTCTGCATTATTCAAGCTGAGATAAATACTTACATAAAAAGTAATATTTTCTATTTATTAACATGAAGAGATCAATAGATTTGTATATGATTTAATTTTTACATTTGTGATTTTCCATTCCTGCTGTGGTATAAATGGTCTTAAGCCATTTATTCACTATACATATATATATATATATATATATACACACACATTATATATAGTTTCAAGCATTTAAGAATCAGAAATCAGTGATTGACATGATGTCATCTTTGACATCGATTTTCTTCTTCATTGAATATAATAGCATTAGCAAACAGTCAGTTCTTGGATGGACGGATTACACAACAGCATAACCATGTGAAAGCTAGGTGTTACTGTTTCGACAAGGGCTGATTATAAAACAAACTAAAAACCAAAGATTCAGATGTTCACTAGATCTCTGTCTGGTGGGGACGCAGATTGAACAAGCAGTGCTCAAACATACCGTTGATCACTGTTACATCTTGTCTGATGTTGATTTAGCCGGGGGAGTTTCAAAATATTATTCATCATTATATATCATTATATTTTTTATATATATATATAATATATATATATTATATATATATATATAAACATATATATATGAAGGGTTATATAGTTTATATATACATATATAAACTATATATTCATATATATTTGTTTATAAAGATATATATATATAACTGATTACTATTTTCAGTATCGAGTAATCTAACGCGTTACTATTTCAAATCCAATAGTCAGACTACAGTTACTGATCTAAATTACTTTGCGTTACTATTTTCTTTTGTCATTAAATTTTACTTCTACGCGCCTTGGAGAGTCCATGCAACAGTATCAGCAGCGACAGAAACATAAACAGTGGAGGGAGATGCGTATTTTGTTGCAGGAAAAACAGGAACTATTTTCTAGTTTCGCTCGCCAACTCCGATCATTATAAGCAGCTGTGTTTTCTAAGTTGCTGTGTAGATTAATGAGTCGCGGTTTTTGGGCTTAGTAAATAAACATAAAACCTGGAATCTGTCTGACATTTTAGTTAGACTCTCTCTGTCCATCATTTCCCGGATGATACGTCGCGCTCTGTCTTTGTTAATATCAGGTTAATATTTGACATCTGATTGACGTCGAGCTTTCGCGTTGCGCTGCAGAAAATCAAACATCGAAACTAATAGGAACGGCGCAATAAACGTGAAAACAGCCATGAACGAGTCCATAAAGTTGTGCAACTAAACGCCATAATAATTATCAATATTAAAATCTTATTTCTAATTTTCCAGACAATACATACAAATGTTTCTGTTGTAAACATTAAACAGTCTCCCCTTCAGTTTAACCATATAGTGGAGACATATTGTTTATGTAATCGTTATAAACTAACAATTAAGTAGCAGCAAAGTTTCTACTTACGCCTAAGTAGAATTTCAAGATCAATTAACAAGCAGTGATTTCAGACTGGAGCAGGAAGCCGGAGCGCCGGAGAGAAACCTGCAAACACAAAACTACTTTTGATATTTACGCAATATAATTGCAAAATGTATTTTTGACATTTGCTGAACAGAATTTAGGCTCTAGTAGCCAAAACGACTTTAAGTAAAAGCAAGGGGAGAAAACTCGAGGCAAAGACCAGTAAGGACTTTGGGAGGAGGCCTGGGAACCTGGAGAGAGTCCACTGATGCAGGAGAACAAGCCGTGAAGGCAGAAGAGCCCAGGAAACTGATTCAACCCACAAAATGGTTTTCAAACACAAAAATGTGTTTTAACCATACTAACAGAATTTAGAGGCCAATTAACTAAACAGTGGTGATTTCAGACTATGGCAGGAAGCCGGAGTACCCGGAGAGAAACCTGCAACAGGAAACCTGTCTAAACTTTTTATACTTTTATCCCATAAATCACACACATGTTTGGTCCCAGTCAGATTTCTCCAGCCTCAAATTGTTTCCTAATTACGTGTTTTGGTTTTTTTCTTCTAAATTGAGTATTTTTAGCTCCTCTTCTAAGACATCTTTATCATCTTCCAGAGGAGGGCCTGGAGAAACTGTAAAATTCATGATTTCTTGAAAATATAAATCTGTCCATTTTGTGGCATGTCTTCACTGCAGTCTGCAATGAAGACATGTGCCAAAATGGACTGACTTACATTTTCTCATAAACATAAATCAGGCCATTTTGGCACATGTCTTCACTGCAGTCGCTGTCTGCAGTGAAAACATGCTCGTCTTCTGCCTTCACGGTTTGTTCTTTCATCATGTAGATGTGGCTGGAATCTCCACAGGTGACGGCGGACGTCCTCCTCCCTTTGCTGGTCTTCGCTCGAATCCTCCCCAGGAAGAAGCTATCACAAACCTTTTTAAATCCAGTCGACACTGCGTATCCTATTCCCCATCCAAGAGGTAGAAAAAATGGCACCAACGCCTCTGATAAACGGAACATTATAAAAACACGCAAATATATATATATACAAAATCCAAAGAACGGTCTGGTTCTGACTGACGGTTTCAAGCATTTAAGAATCAGAACTTCTTTGATCTTCTGTGATGGACATGATGTCATCGATGACCTCATCAGTGAGCTCACTGGGCTTCAGGCGCAACTCTTGCTTCTGATCGTTGCTATGGAAACGATCAGCTCAGTTCTGCATTATTCAAGCTGAGATAAATACTTACATAAAAAGTAATATTTTCTATTTATTTAACATGAAGAGATCAATAGATTTGTATATGATTTAATTTTTACATTTGTGATTTTCCATTCCTGCTGTGGTATAAATGGTCTTAAGCCATTTATTCACTATACATATATATATATATATATATATACACAACACATTATATATAGTTTCAAGCATTTAAGAATCAGAAATCAGTGATTGACATGATGTCATCTTTGACATCGATTTTCTTCTTCATTGAATATAATAGCATTAGCAAACAGTCAGTTCTTGGATGGACGGATTACACAACAGCATAACCATGTGAAAGCTGTAGGTGTTACTGTTTCGACAAGGGCTGATTATAAAACAAACTAAAACCAAAGATTCAGATGTTCACTAGATCTCTGTCTGGTGGGGACGCAGATTGAACAAGCAGTGCTCAAACATACCGTTGATCACTGTTTACATCTTGTCTGATGTTGATTTAGCCGGGGAGTTTCAAAATATTATATCATCATTATATATCATTATATTTTTATATATATATATATATATATATATATATATATATATATATATATATATATATATATATATGAAGTTTATATATACATATATAAACTATATATTCATATATATTTGTTTATAAAGATATATATATATATAACTGATTACTATTTTCAGTATCGAGTAATCTAACGCGTTACTATTTCAAATCCAATAGTCAGACTACAGTTACTGATCTAAATTACTTTGCGTTACTATTTTCTTTTGTCATTAAATTTTACTTCTACGCGCCTTGGAGAGTCCATGCAACAGTATCAGCAGCGACAGAAACATAAACAGTTGAGGGAGATGCGTATTTTGTTGCAGGAAAAACGGAACAATTTTCTAGTTTCGCTCGCCAAGTCCGATCATTATAAGCACCTTTGTTTTTTTAAGTTGCTTGTAGATTTAATGAGTCGCGGTTTTTGGGCTTAGTAAATAAACATAAAACCTGGAATCTGTCTGACATTTTAGTTAGACTCTCTCTGTCCATCATTTCCCGGATGAAACGTCGCGCTCTGTCTTTGTTAATATCAGGTTAATATTTGACATCTGATTGACGTCGAGCTTCGCGTTGCGCTGCAGAAAATCAAACATCGAAACTAATAGGAACGGCGCAATAAACGTGAAAACAGCCATGAACGAGTCCATAAAGTTGTGCAACTAAACGCCATAATAATTATCAATATTAAAATCTTATTTCTAATTTTCCAGACAATACATACAAATGTTTCTGTTGTAAACATTAAACAGTCTCCCCTTCAGTTTAACCATATAAGTGGAGACATATTGTTTATGTAATCGTTATAAACTAACAATTAAGTAGCAGCAAAGTTTCTACTTACGCCTAAGTAGAATTTCAAGATCAATTAACAAGCAGTGATTTCAGACTGGAGCAGGAAGCCGGAGCGCCCGGAGAGAAACCTGCAAACACAAAACTACTTTTGATATTTACGCAATATAATTGCAAAATGTATTTTTGACATTTGCTGAACAGAATTTAGGCTCTAGTAGCCAAAACGACTTTAAGTAAAGCAAGGGGAGAAAACTCGAGGCAAAGACCAGTAAGGACTTTGGGAGGAGGCCTGGGAACCTGGAGAGAGTCCACTGATGCAGGAGAACAAGCCGTGAAGGCAGAAGAGCCCAGGAACTGATTCAAACCCACAAAATGGTTTTCAAACACAAAAATGTGTTTTAACCATACTAACAGAATTAGAGGCCAATTAACTAAACAGTGGTGATTTCAGACTATGCAGGAAGCCGGAGTACCCGGAGAGAAACCTGCAACAGGAAACCTGTCTAAACTTTTTATACTTTTATCCCATAAATCACACACATGTTTGGTCCCAGTCAGATTTCTCCAGCCTCAAATTGTTTCCTAATTACGTGTTTTGGTTTTTTCTTCTAAATTGAGTATTTTTAGCTCCTCTTCTAAGGCATCTATCATCTTCCAGAGGAGGGCCTGGAGAAACTGTAAAATTCACGATTTCTTGAAAATATAAATCTGTCCATTTTGTGGCATCTTCACTGCAGTCTGCAATGAAGACAGGTGCCAAAATGGACTGACTTACATTTTCTCATAAACATAAATCAGGCCATTTTGGCACTGTCTTCACTGCAGTCGCTGTCTG